GCCCCACATCAGGCTCTGTGCTGACGGTGTGGAAACTGCTTGAGATTCTCTCTCCCCCACTCTCCCTCTGCCCCTCTTCACGTGTGCGTGCTCTCTCTCTCCCTCTGCCCCTCTCCCCTGCTTGCACGTGCACACACATACTCTCTCTCTCAAAAAAAAAAAAAAACAAGTTCTATAAAGTATCTATTCTTAGATAAGAGAACAATGGTAACTTGAAGCATGATCTTTATCCCTTCTTATTGGATTAGTAGATTAATTTCTAAGTTGTTTGTTGTTTCAAGAAAGACTACTAAAGGGGAGCCTGAGTGATTCATCCGGTTGAGCGTCAGACTCTTGTTATCTGCTCAGGTCCTGATCTTGTGTGGTGAGATTGAGCCCCCTGTTGGGCTCTGCGCTGACAACGTGGAGCCTGCTTGGGATTCTCCCTCTCTCTCCCTCTCTCTCTCTCTCTCTCTGTCTGTACCCAGCTCATGCACACACACTCTCTCAAAATAAATAAACATTAAAAAAAGAAATACTATTGCAAAGGCAGTATTTCAGAATGATTTATCTCCTTAGGTTGGTTGAGAACCATGACCTCTGGGTCAGCCCAATCCCTACCACGCTTCCAAAACCTCGCTCGGAAAAAAATAAAGGTGGCAATATTACCTATTACTTCTTCACTGTTTGTTTCTTGAAGTCATGGTCCTTGCCCTGTTGTTGTGTATCTTTCATGAAGCCAGCCACAGAATAGAACAGCACTTCCACGTTTAGAGGCTTGTAGCGTAATAAGAAGAAAAAACTCAAAAGAGGTTTATAAAAATGGTAGTATATCTTAATTGTTGAAATTTAATACCAAAAATACTTGAATTATAATGTAATATAAATGTGATGTTCACAAGCTAATGATAGGAAGAAAAAGATATGGATCCATGTTGGTCTAGAAATAAGATACCTGTTTAAAGTTGACAGGTAAAGGTTGTTTCTGTTACATGCAGCCGAATGTCCTGTATAATATATCTTGCTAAGTCTAAAATGGTGGCTTTGGGGTGCCTGGGTGGCTCAGTCAGTTAAGTGCCCAATTTTGGCGCAGGACATGATCTCGTGGTCCATGAATTTGAGCCCTGCGACAAGCTCTGGGCTGACAGCTCAGAGCCTGCTTCAGATTCTGTGTGTGTGTCTCTCTCTGCCCCTCCCCTGCTCACGCTCTGTCTCTCCCTCTCTCAAAAATAAATAAACATTAAAAAATATTTTTTTTTATTAAAAATAAAATAAAATGGTGGCTCTGCCCCCAAGGAAAGATGGCAGCTGGTGCCCACCAAAGGAAATATCACTTCTGCACTCACAGTGACTATCAAGGTGAAAGGGATCTGAATATGGCACCCCCAAATACTTAGGCTATTCCTCAGTCTTTCACGGGCCAGTAATTCTCAGCCTGATCTGTATATTGCAAACCCTGGAGAAATCTGAAGAATATGGATGCCTGAGTCCTACCCGCAGAGATTCTGAGTTAATTGATCCAGGGAGTTTTAAAAGCCCCTCGAGTGATTCTAAAGTACAGTCAATGTTGAGAACCACTGATGCAAATGGAATCTTGGTGTACAAATCTGTGGCCCTCCTGACTTTCCCAGATCTGCTCAGACATGTCTAAATCCTAGGGTGAGTAGAGTCAGAGCTTTGTAACTCTCCAATGTCTGGTCTCTTGTGTTCACAGAGAAGATTACTAAATCTCATCTCTTTTTTTCCCCCCCATGCAAAACCTGTATGCTCACATATGGTGGCTGGCCGTAAGCTATTTACATGTGCATACAGGTTTTTCTCCTTACCAAATGCAAATGCTAAAAACACTACCATCTGGTCAACCCCTGCTGACCACCCCCCTTCCCCAGTTGTTCGACCACTAAGGGCAAGAACATGCCTACAGATGAGAGAGCAGAGCTTTTATTTGCTAAATGTGTTCAGAGTTTACATTACATTCAGGACATAAAAAAATTCCCCATGCCAGACAATATTTAGAGAATCGTGATATGTGCAAAGCATCATTGTGCCTCTCTTTTGGGGAACACAAAGATAGAAAACATAATGTTTACACTTTGGGAGCTTACCATCTATCTAAGGGGATTCAATACAAATCTGCTAAGAATACATTTTAAAGAACAAAGGATGAATAAATTTAATTGATTAAGCTGCAAAACTATAATAATAATAACAACAACCTATAACAGACCTATAATGTTCTAGGCCAAATATACGACATTTCTAACATTTGGAAACCTATGAGATAGATTTTCATTGCACTTTACAGAAGTTGGAAATAAAGTACAGAAATTGAGCAACTTACCCAAAATCACATACTTGCCACTCCGTTGTCTATTGTGTAATAGTATTACTTTTCAGTAATTTAAATATAAGTCTTGATGACGATGAAAAATTCATATCTACATTCTGTGGAAATGTTCCACAACATCAAGTCAATATTATTACATGCAGATATCTTGAATACTACAGGAATCTTAGAAAGTTTGAAGAATACATCAAAAAGTCTGGTGAAGATGCATCGCCTTGGGGAGTCAGACCCCAAGTGGATTTTTCCTCCGACAAATCATTGCCCTTTCTATCCCTTAGTCTCCTTATGTATAAAACATGAATATTATTTTTATATCTGCCTCAAAGATGTGCTGTGAGAACTGAGAATTTCTTGATGTGGTAGAAAAGTGCTTTGGGCTGTTGCATTTTGTTTTGAATTTAATGTCTTGAGAATAAGACATATAAGAAGAGGTGGGTTTTCTCACAAAGTTAAAGCAGCCAATGTGGAGGGCTCCTCACTTTCTTGGGTTCTTCAAAGGTTGCACGAGTTCCCCATGGGGGAAGTGAGCAGAGGCAACCTAGGCAGCCTAGGCACCACCCTCCATGCCTTCCTGGTGGCTGCCCTGGCATTGTGGCAAGGCACATTGCTACCATTACCTCCGCCAATGCTGGGTCTTAGCAACAAGCAATCCCTGTTGGTCCATTGAGCACCGAGACCCTATCTGGGTTTTCCAGGACTGAAGCTGGGGAGGAGAGCACTGCAATTGATAGATCTTAGTCTTATTGGACCAGCTGCAGTGACTTCAGCTGTGGTGATAGGGAGAGGGGAAGGGAGGCAGGGGTGAACAGACCTAGCAAGGTCAAGGCTGGAGTTCTCCAGGGTTTGCCCTCTGGCAAGGAGCATCTTGGGAGCAAAAAACTGAGGCAAACGTTACAGAGTAGGCATCACCAACAGGAGTCAGTAAGCTGAAAAACAAATTCTAGTTTATTCTAGTATTTTATTTACAATTAAAAATAATTGTGAACAGCCACACTAGAGGCAAGACTGAATTGTCTTTCTAATGTCTCAATAGAAAATAATATTATAAAATCTCGGTTGTATTTAAAGAAAATGTTTTTAACATTTATTTATTATTGAGAGACAGGGCATGAGCATGGGAGGAGCAGAGAGAGGGGGAGACACAGAATCTGAAGCAGGCCCCAGGCCCTGAGATGTTAGCACAGAGCCCGACACGGGGCTCAAACTCACGAACTGAGCTGAAGTCAGACGCTTAACTGACTGAGCCACCCAGGTGACCCCAAAATCTCGGTCATATTAAGAAGTAATCAAAGAGGGGCGCCTGGGTGGCGCAGTCGGTTAAGCGTCCGACTTCAGCCAGGTCACGATCTCACGGTCTGTGAGTTCGAGCCCCACGTCAGGCTCTGGGCTGATGGCTCAGAGCCTGGAGCCTGTTTCTGATTCTGTGTCTCCCTCTCTCTCTGCCCCTCCCCCGTTCATGCTCTGTCTCTCTCTATCCCAAAAATAAATAAACGTTGAAAAAAAAATTAAAAAAAAAAAAGAAGTAATCAAAGAGTATTATGTTAAAAAAAGAAGAAGAAGAATTTTAGGGCATGTCAGTTAATAATAAAGTTAATATTAATACTGTGATTTTTTTTGTATATTTTTAATGTGTGGTATTTGTCAACTCTTTGAAATGTAAAACTTGAGACACCTGGGGTGGCTCAGTGGGTTGAGCATCCAACTTTTGATTTCAGTCATGATCTCAGGGTCATGGGATCAAGCCCCGTGTGGGGCTCTGTGTTGGACATAGAGCCTGCTTAAGATTCTCTCTCTCTAAAAAAAAAAAAAAAAGTGAAACTTGTGATCAAGGGTTCTAAAAAACACTCGATTTTGTATTCACAATTTTATGATTTTTTTCTTAAATTGCATAACATTCAAACTGTATAAACTTTAGGCTCATAAAACCTGGAAAGGTCTGGATAGAGCATAAAGTCATTGTGGAGTGAACAACTGCTCTCGAAAAGTCCAGCTCTAGAGTTTTTACTGTCACTCATAGAACGCCTGAGACATCCAGTAACCAAGAGACTTGGTCGGTGGGGAGGAGTGGATGGAAGTGCTCCTGATAACAGACGCCCAGGTGTCAGTGGGTCAGAACAAACTCTGCTCTGTCCAGGAGTATGGGGGAGACTTGCACACAGGCTGTGGCAAGTTTTGGTCTTCCGCTAAGAGCGGTGGAAAACTGTGAGCAAGCCTGAAGCAGGGGAAGAAGTACTCAGGATGAAGAGACAAGTGTGTGAGCAGGGAGACCCCCTAGCAGGGGGGAAATGGTGATGCCTTGCACCAAGGTGATGGTTCTTCAGGACTCCCACTGCACTGTCATCAGGTGGAATCACCCCGAATGCTTCAGGGCAGACGTTCCCCAGAAATCCCTGCTCAGTCAGTTGACTCCTGGGTCTGCAGCCAAGTGCTATAAAAAACCCTGGGGGAGGGGAGGGGGACTTCTTGCATCCTCTAGGCTTTCCGATTAATCATTTAGGTGGGAAACCGAAGCCTGTTCAGGTAAAAAGATACGTGAACTCCAGGTCAGGATCACAACCCTGTCTAAATATATGACATTCTTTCCCCTGCAGGATGGCAGGGGTTGGAGGAAGGGAGGGGATGGGTAAAAACAAATTATTTTCATTCAGTCATTGTTTCCTAGCAACCAAAAAAAAAAAAAAAAAAAAAGGCATGTGTTTTCCTGATGTCTGTGAGCACCAGCCCAAGACGATGATGTTCAATGCTCCAGCACGCCTCCAGAAGCAGGGAGAGAACAAAAGCACCAGAATCCGTCTCTGGTTGGTAAGAGATTCTGAAAGGGGAATTTATTAAGGGCTGGGCACCTAATAGAACACAATCTGAGAGTCCTGTATCATAGCTATAGGGGTGCAGGGAGGGGATCTGCATGGAGTGTACAGATATTTACAGATATTCAGGGCATGATATTCTGACAGAGTATGTGGGCTGTGACTTCTGGGGGGTTTCTTTCTATGAAACAGCTAATGCCTGAGACAGCTAACATCTTTCCATTAGACCCTTTGTGTGTATTTCCAGCCAGAGTCTTGGTTTTTGTTAAAGCTCTGTAGACAGAAAAGAAGAATGACTGGCTGAATTCAAATTTAAACCAAATAGTCTATGCAAATGGCCCCCTTTCAACCACACAGAGCTACTCAATGTACGAAGTCACTGAACTCTACAGCTAGAAGGGACCTCTCCAATCATTCAATGACTGTTTTGCAGAAGAGGAAACAGAAAAACACAGAGAAAATTCACTTGTCCAAGGTGACACAGCTAGCTGATAGCCTTACTAGGTCTTTGGACCTCCTTGGGGTGAGGCTCGCTCATATTTTTAAGATTTAAACCTTTGTTTATTATGCCACGTTGAATGGCGTTGGGGAGGGTGGTCCAAGGGGAAGTTATCACAGTGGGCAAGAAATGCATATTTTATAATTTAAGTCTGAAATTCTAAGGGCTGGCTCAGAATTACAAACAAGAATGGGTTAAAGCAAATGCTAAGTCTTTTGCTTTTTAAAAAAGCATCAAAGCTAAGGGAGCCTATCTGCCCCCTTGTGAACGAATCGAAATAAGACAAATGTTCGGCCGACAAATGCGTTTCCAACTCAGTGAATCAGAAGAATCATAATTTGTGCTAGCCTTTATGAAGTTTCGAGTGGTAGGGTGAAAAATGCTCTTGGTGATATTAACCAGGCTCATCATTTTTTAGACAACACCTGAGACTGGAATGCAGAAGACCCAAGAAGCTTGGCCACAGCCATGCCAGTCAGTCAGTGGTGCAGCAGACACTACATCCTGGCATCTGGCCTCCCCCATCCAGTGCTTTTCCTTTTCTCGGTTATGAGGTCCCCTCTCTGGCTTATAGTATTCTCTCCCACTTGACTCTCCTAGAGAGCTATATCACTGTCTCTACAGTTCATTCATTTCCTGTGGAATGTTCCTACTTTGTTCCCCCCCTTTTATCTTTTCCACATCCCATCCAAGACTGAAGCAGATGCAGTGGCAGCAAGAATGGTCCAAAATAATTAATTTGGTCTGGTGAAGAATTCATGTAAATTAAGGACATCCTGTCTTCTGTCCGCTTATTGTTAGAGAGCTGAATCAAATCAAGCATCATGTTTAATGTAGTTTACAGACTACATTTTTTCCCAGAAGTTTCTAAAGTTTTATTCAAACCGTACTTAGGGTGGCAATTTAAAAACACATGCACAATTTCAGAAGCACAGAAGGTAATATGATGAACACCTATAGATTCATCTTCCCAGAGTCAACAAATGTTAACATTTTTTTATATTTGTTCTCAGGGTTCTCCAGAGAAACAGAGCATATATGTATATATGTATAATGTATATACATGTACAAGAGAAACTTACTGTAAAGAATTGGCTCACATGGTTGTGGTGGCTTGGCCAGTCCAAAATCTGAAGGGGTAGCTGGCAGGCTGGAGACTCGAAGGAGAGTTCTTCCGGCAGAATTTTTTCTTATTTGGGAGGAATCAATCTTTCTTCCACCCAAGCCTTCAACTGATTGGATGAGGCCCATTCACATAATGGAGGGTAATCTGCTCAACTCAAAGTTGATCGATTTAAGTGTCAATCTCATACAAAAAATACCTTCACAGAAACACCTAGCATAATTTTTGACCAAATATATGGGCACAGTGGCCCAGCCAAGCTGACACATAAAAGTAACCATCACAATTTGCTTTCCATCTTGTTTAAGAAATAAAACATTGTGGACATAGTCGATATTCTACTTATACCTCTCCTTAGATGTCCCATTTAAAAGTGATGCTTTTTTTTATAAACTCCTTTTTGTGACCTCAAATGCCTTCTGATGCCATCACCTAAACTCCGGTTTCTGGCTCAATGTGGAGATAAGAATTGAAGACATGGCCTCATCTTTGCCATGATGATGTATTCTTTCCAGGACCCACCGGCCATAGGAAGTTGTACACAGGTTGTATAGAAAACTCCATTATGAGCCATTGTACCAAGGTGGATTCACTGGGAGTCACTGTGTGGAATGCACACAGAACTCACATGTTCAGATCACAGCATGTTTGGATGTTTCTGTCCAAATAGTCTCATCTACTATTACATGAGCCATGACTATTTTACTTGCTTATTTATTGCAAGGATAAGTAAATGGTGAATGTTGGGAAACTTGGAAAGAATTAAGAGGTGTCAGACAAATTCAAGGTACAGTGCACCTCCCTCCCACCCCCAAGCCAGTTTAATTCCAACCTGGAACTGGCTGGATAAGAGGCCTGAGCTCTGCACACTCCCGGATCCCTTCCAGAGTCTAGGACTCCATGACTGGTATTTGGAGTGATAGCATCCCTAACTCAAATTCTCTCTGATTTGCTGCTGTAGCTTGTAGGCTCAAAGAGGCTGACTCTTCCCCAAGGATATCAGGGGCAGTGTAAGCTACAGATATCTGCTCATCTGGACAAGCCTTAATCATGGAAAGAAAGCTCCTAAAGAAGGAAATGAAAAAACTCCTGTAAGTATGATTGAGAATAAGCTTTCGTTTATTACACTCGGCATTTGGTGGGTTTCAGGTCATCGATGGTTTGGATATTGGCAGAGGGTAAAAATCTAAGAGAAGAATGGATTCCTGGACTATAGGAGAAAGCTAGATGATCTGGCTTCTGCCTCCTGCCTGAGAAGCCTCACATGTGGTGCAAAGCAGGATGCTGACTCTCTTGGGAGAGATGTTTCTGCCAAGACCGTGCACTGCACATCCGAGGCATCCCCATGCTGGAACCTGACAGCTGAACCCCCAGGCCAGGCTGCCTCTACTGGACAGGGCGTGCCTTTGAAAGGGCCCTGCCAGGAACACAGGCGAGATTTCTGCAAAATGTGCCCAAAGGTACATTTATAAGTGTAGCCTGCCTCTTTCATTGTTAGTCTTATCAACTAAATAATTGATCTCCTTGTTCTTGCCATTTGAACTTAAAAAAAAAAAAAAAAAAAGCCAAGTTCTCCCATGGAAAAATCTTTTTTCTCCTATGGTAGCTTTTCTATGATTTGGTACTTTGTTAAGAGGTTGGTGAAAATCACAGACCATATGAAAAGGGGAGAAAAGGCTGTTCTGTTTCATATATATTATAGGCACAACAATAATATCCTTTTTATCAAAGACCTTATCACAGTCTTCATCCAATGTCCTTTCTCTACCTACTAAGATAATTATGTTTTAACAAGTCCTTAAGAAATACTGGAATAAAATACGTAGGACTACACATAATTACATGTATGGGCTTGGAAGCCAACATAATAATAATAATAAAAAAAAACCTATTATCAGGAATGTCAATTCCTCCATGTAGAACTGGCATTTCAAAACTGATATAAGTATAATTTTATATCTAAAGAATACATTTAGGCTACTTTAAATAAATTGCCTTGGAATTAGAAAGCAAAAATTTGAGAATTTTTTTTAAATCTTAGCCTAGTGACTCAGAACTTTAAGAAACCAGACACAAACTTACCACCCCCAGCCCCCACCCCACCCCACCCCACCCCCCACAGTAACTTGCCCATAGTGCTTGGTAAAGACCTTGAAAACAGAACTGGCCTTATGTAAAAGTGTGCAGATAGACTCGGGGAGCCAGAATCCTTTTTCCTTATCAGGTCCCTCTGGCTCTTCTCCCTGGGGGGCTGGAAGGCAGGTGGGGGGGAGCGGTAAACCACTTTCTGTTTTCCTGCCAAGACCCCTCATTAAAATCACTGGTAGGGAAGGATCGCACAGGACACACTAAAAGTGGAATTTCTGGTATGCTTTTCTGTATAACTCCTCCTCAGGGTATTTGCTTTCTAATGGGGAAAAGGGGCCTTAGGGCGAGAGAATACATCCATACAGAATATCACAGAGCTGGAATTTTTCAACTGTGGACATTCTGCCTGAGTTTAACACGGGCAGCAAGGGAATTTTTGTTTTAAACAGTGGATCTCAATCCTTTGGGTTTTGTAAAACCTTTTCGGGCGTGTGGGAATTTGTGACGCAGCCCCGCCTCCTGCTTTCCCATGAATCCTGTTCCGACTACGGGAGTCTTATTTTTAGATAAATGTGAGGTAAGCTCATAGTGGTTGCACATTTAAACCTGCACCGTTGCAGAATTGCCTTTTAACTCAAAGTGAATATTGGCTGAGCTACCAGAGCTCTTGGGTTTTGGTGGGGGAGGGGAGGCACTGGAAAGAGCGCGCTTCGGCAAACTGAGCTCCCCTCTCTTTCCCAATGGTTCAATGCTGCTCTCTTGCTTTTAAGGGGAGATTATATTGGCATCAGACTTCGGGAAAATGAATTTGACCCAAAAGGAAGAAGGCAACTCACCTTTCTAGATGATATGGTAAAGAAAGGCATGCCGACGCAAGTCACATTTGTGTTTTTTTGTGTTCAGGGGACAGAGCTAGGACCTAATGTATATCCTAAATAAGCCTAATCTTGATCCTCCCGTAGTGTCCTCATCCTAGAGTCCTCCACAACGTCTTTTCGACTCATTACACTGAAAGCAAAAATAACGAGAAAGTCCAAGTTATAAGACTCTTTGCTCTTGGCTATTTCTCTCCTAGAAAAGATTAAAAAGCAAAATGGATGCAAAGTTAAACGTTACATACATGTTGTTCAACAATTTTTTTGACAAAATAAGTTATGCAGTTCTCTAATTTTATTTATTTATTTACTTACTTACCGTTTGCATTCATGGGGAAAACCAAAGAATGGAATAATCAAAATCCTTCCATCATTGTTAATGTTGAAGTTCAGATTCATGTTCTGTAATGAAAGTTCCCTTCACGGAAATTATGTAAAGGCCTAATTTACAAGAAATTAGTAAATCCTCAGCTTCTTTATGCTTACCTGTTTGCACTATTAAAGTTCCCTTCACGGAAATTATGTAAAGGCCTAATTCACAAGAAATTAGTAAATCCTCAGCTTCTTTATGCTTACCTGTTTGCACTATTAAGGAAGAAAGGATGTGTCCCTGCCCTACCCTACGTCCCTGAGTGACTTCCCTAGAGCTGAATAGCAGTTAGGCCTGGTGTTCTAAAGTACATCTCTGTGCACATGTTAAATGGGGAACTTAAATCGATCGGATAAGTGCTTTCAAACTTTAATGAGGTCTCATCGCAAGGCCCTTTTGATTCCGGAAGTTGGGGGTGCGTGGCTGGGGAATTTGTATTTGTAATGAGCAAACAGGCCACGCCCACACAGCTAGTCCTGCATCAACCTTTCCATTAGGTTTCAACCACCAATCACAGTTCTTTTTGCTGTTGTTGTTCACTCTCTAGTTTTGTTTAGTCACTGGAAGAAGTAGGTACAGTTGACCCTTGATTTGACCCCAGATTTGAACTGTGTGGGTCCACTTATGCACAGAATTTTTTTAATAAGTACAGTACAATACTGTAAATGTATTTTCTGTTATGATTTTCTTAATCAACTTTTCTCTAGCTTACTGTATTATAAGAATGCAATATATAATATACACAACATATAAAATATGTGTTGATTGACAGTTTATGTTACTGTCCATAGCAGTCCATAGCAGGCTATTCACAGTACACAGATTTTAGGGGTGGGTGCATCTAACCCCTGGGTGTTCAAGGGTCAACTGTACATTGTTTTGAAAAGGTTAGAACCTTAGAACCCATCTAAAACCCGAAAACAAAACCAACCTTCCCTTTTCTGAAGGGGGGCGGGGTAGAGAGAGGAGAAAGAATATTTGGATGGGGACAAGGTGAATATGCTTAGAAATTACCAGGAAAAGATGGTCAGCAGGCAAGGAATGAACATTTGAAGTGCTCCTCAGCTTTTTACTGCATACTAGACTCTTAGCAAGCCACTCATTGGGGTCTACCTCTAGCCTTTTGCTCATTCTGGTCCCTCCACCCTCGAGTCCTCCACCTGTCGAAATTCTCCTCATACATCAAGCCCCAGCTCCACCAGGGCCCTCTCTCTGAAGCCTCCCGGGATCTCCGTGACACCCCAGGTGGACACACCACTTCCCTGGTGCCCCTGGGAGCACATTTCTGACGTTCTGTTCACAGAATTCAAAATTGTTCTCTGAGGCCCTCTTCCCCCCACCTTCACTTTTTTCTATGTTAAAATTTGAGGACAGTGAGGTGCTGAAAACATCAATTGCTTACCCGAAGATATACCATGAGTTGTTGGCAATACCTAGATTTGAACCCAGATTCCCTGCTTCCCCGTTTCCTTCCAAGAATCCATCCTTTCTTTTCCTGTCACCATAAATCAAAAACAAAAATCAGTTCTAGTGAGAGGTAAATGTAATGACTGAAGATCCCTTAATATTTCTGTCTGGGAATCAGGTTACTGGACATAGCTGATGATCCTCACCTTTGTGGATGTGACAATGTAGTAGAATAGGCTTAGTAGTGCCATTGTCATTGGGTCCAGGGAGTGCTTCGGCCAACGTCTAAGCCCATCCCTTTTCTGTCTGCTTCCCACTCCCAGGCACACTATGACTTGGCCATCAATGTTGCTTTGCAATGGCTGGATCACTTGGAAGACTTCACTTGGCTGGAGTGGGAGAAAGTGTAAGTGGAAATGGTTTCTCTTTCTTTCTTTCTTTCTCTTTCTTTCTTTCTTTCTTTCTTTCAAATGTATGACTATGAGTAGTGATAGAGAAAACTTCTATCTGGCATCATCCACCACGAGGCACTCTGATTTGAAAATACTGCAAGGTGGGGAGCCTGGGTGGTTCAGTCAATTGAGGGTCCAATTTAGGCTCAGGTCATGATCTCACAGTTCATGGGTTCAAGCCCCCATCGGGCTCATTGCTGTCAGTACAGAACCTGCTTCAGATCCTCTGTCCCCATCTTTCACACTCCTCCCCTGCTCGCACGCACGCTCTCTCTCAAAAATAAACATAAAAAAAAAAAAAAAACATTGAAAACACTGCAGGATGAGTATCCATCCATTTCCAGCTAGAAACCTGAAGAAACCCTATAGTTGTCAACTTGGAGAACTCATATACTTGTTTGTATATTTTGTATCTACGCATTGGTTTCTGTCGGATGAAGATCCTTCTCCCACATAATGTTCTGTCTTAGAAATATGGACCATACTTTACTGTGCCCATGCCATGATTTTTAAAACGGTCAATTCTGTGGGTAAAGGCTCTTTCTAAGGACTATCAAACACAATTTCTTAAGCATTTAGCTAAATATCTACCTGGACTGAGGTGTTTGAATTACAGCTGTGTCAATCCTTTCCAGGATTATTGGCATTTTCTGCCATGTTTGCCAGGCAGACCCACTCAACTGATTAAAAATAAGGAACTAATGAAGACAGGATTGAATAGCTTATTCCAGAGGCCAGTTATTTTTTCTGTTCCATTGCCTTAGAACACACACCTTGTCCTGGCTCGCTGTATCAGTTAGGGTTTAGTTGTAATAAGCAGAAAATCCAGACTCAAGCCTCACCCCCCAAAAGAGGAGGGAAGAAGGAATTTATTAACTTTGCGTTTGAAAAGTCCATGAGTCGGTCTGCATTAGGCAGGGCTTAATTCAAAACTCAAATCGTGTCATCAGGATTTACTTCTGGACTATTTCCCCTGGGTGGACATTATTCTTAATTTCAGCCCATTTTATTGCAACATCCAGTCCAAAGGAGAATAGATTTTTTAAAAAAATCACAGGATTGTGTCTCAATTGTGCCTCAGCCCCTGATTTGTCTGGAGGTGGAGGGTGGGGGGCATGGAATACGCTGACTAGCTTAGTCCACAGTGTTTACCCTTCGAATCTAGGGGTGTTCATGGCTTCCCTAGAAGCACATAGGCTTACAGTGGGTAAAGCAGTTCCCTCCAAGAAGGGGAAGAGGATACGGGTTGGCAAAACCATTAAGTGTCCACCATAGTGGCCAGTGGTTGCTAGCTGTGAAAACATGGACCAACGAAGGCAAATTCATCACCATTGTTGGAAGATTCAGAATTCTAAGTGTGTACTTTACTGTGAGCAGATTCACCACATTAATTTTGTAAATAGATGCATAACACATGGCCATTGGAGATTACTTATGGATTATTATTATAAACTTAATAGATGTCCAAAAAACCCAAAAATAAACCTTCCATTGTTATTTACTCCTATTCCCCCTTAGGAAAATGCCATTTCATGGCAGACCCACATATCCAAACCGGAAAGAAAGAGAAGCAATGATTTTATCATCTTATGCTGGAATCTTAATGGTAAGGTAAAGAACACTGTTTGCATATGGGGATTTTATATTTACTTATGTGCATTTTGATATTGATGCATATTTATTTTATTTTTCAACCGCTCTTCCTAAATGCTTAAGGTTTACTAATATTAAATGTTCCGGTTTTAAAGATACAGTAAAAAGTCTTTTATGCCTATATGGTATTGTGAAAACCTTCATTTAAAAGGCAAAAAAAAAAAAAAAAAAAAAAAACAGAATGAAAGACATAAATAATTGGATACAGGTGATTCTGATTCACCTGCTTATTCAGAAATTACTTATTTAGTGCCCATGCTATCCAGGCATGATGCTGTACATGTTGGAGCTACAATTGCTTTGTGTCGCAATAAAAGAAAAACCATGACATGATAATACATTTGTTGGTGCTGTTGTTTTTTTTAACAGAACAGTCTCCCAGTTGAGGAAGTCTTTAAAATGTATGGAGCCGATTCTTCTACCAATTCTGGGGCCACCAAGGTAGGGGAGACCCGAGACTATCAATAAGAGGAAATTTTAGAGAGGATTTCTTTATTTTTATACATTTATAATGGATTTTTAACATTGTCAACTGCATGAAATAACAGTTGTTAATCGAAACATACAAAACCAGAGGGGACCACGTCTTACCTGGCTCATAAAGGTTTGTAAAACGCTTTCCTCACGTGAGGGCTGTGTTCATAAGGACAAATGTGTTTTGCGTAAGGCTAAGTAGAGGCAGCAAACAGGTCGCCAGGCTCTGAGTCTAGATTCTGCCTCTGTCTCTGGTGAACAGAATCTCTCGCTTACTCTATAATGCACGTTTGGCAAGCCCAAGAACTCCCCTTGCATGATGCACCAGAACATCCAGAACTCAGGCAAGATGTGCAAGGTTTGTTCTCGTGATACATTCTGTAGTTTGCTGCTGCCACACTTCTTCCCGCGAGGGTCCTTTAATCACAACAGTAGACGCGGCAATTATCACAATTCCAGTGACCTGAGTTCTGACACCTCTTCTACAGAGCCCCCGGTCCTTGCCTTCTTTGATCTCTTCCATATACTGATCTAAAAAAAAATTGTTTTTGTTAGAATTGTGAATGGTCGTTACAGCCAATTCAGTTTTTGCTACTTATGGATGTATGGACATTTAGTGAGCATTAAACAAGAGGTGCTATTTAGATGTGAACTACCTATCTGTTTACCTTTAGATACCTGTAGAAAATGGATGAGGAAAGGGGGATGTGCAGTGGGAGTGAGGGACAACCCACACCCACATACCCAGCCCTCTGCTCACACGATCACTGTGGATGCCCCCACCAGCACTTGGCAGGGAGGCCAGGGCAGGGGCAGGGCTATGGTCACAGAAAAGCCCCCCCACCCCGCCCCCGTTCTTTACCTGCAGACCATACAGCAAATCAAGAACTCACCATGTCCAGCTTGTGAGTCAAGCATTTACAAAAAGAAAGAAAAAAAAGGAAAAAAAATCAAGCATTTACTAAGAAGTGTTGTAACTTTGAATCCCACTGTCCCATCACCTTAATCCATATGTAAACTGGCTCTAGTTCTGAGACTCAAGTTCCCTTGATCACAGAGGAAGTCAGTACCTTTTCTCTGATCACTCTAGCTTCAACTACATTGATTGATTGATTGATTCATTCATTCATTCATTCAATGTGGTTGTAGGTGCAAGGGATATAATGGTGATTGAATCAGGCAAGATTACTTTTCTCATGGGTTTTATATCTTGTACTGGACCTGACATTCCACCTGGTTGAGATAAAGCCACTCTGTGCCCAGTTTTCCTCAGAGACCAAGCTGTTTTTGGTTTTTAAAGAAAGCCCGACCCTTTTGGTTCTTTAGAGAGCCAAGCAAACCATAATGCTTCATTCCTGCTGGGTTGTTTGCTTTTTTTTTTCCCTGCAGCTTTCTCCCTTTCAGGCTGCCGTCTTTCCCCCTTTCCCCAATACCCCCAACACATACACATTAATATCTCAGCTTAACCCTTTCCTTTTAGCCATTGTGTTTTTCCTTATCTTCCGGTGCCTTGGAACAGCTGGGCCGTCATCAGGCACTGATTGGTTGGTCTCACTCGAATGGCCAAAGGGCAAATATAAAAAAAATCACATCCTGGAGGGGATGGCCCTGTGAACCTTTCTAGTTTTGGCTGGGTTACCAATTAAGAAGGTTTGCAAACATGGGTGCCGGAGTAGCTCAGGCCAGGTTCCTTTCAAAGGGCCAGAACAGGAAGTCATGCTGTTTAGAAGAAGGCTGGCCAATTTCTATCTATACATCTGGTCTTTCACTTTTTCAGTAAAAGAGACTTTATTGCGCACCTTCTCTGTTCGGTTATACACAGTCTCTGTCCTCACAATGGACAATGGGTGACCAGGAACAAAAAGCCCAGATGTGCACATGGACTACATAATGACCAACTCGGAAGGGAAATAGATAATATGGTCATGGAGGGGGCGTTCCTTCAAAGGTCTGCATCTATTTATTGTTACAGGATCTGTCAGCTCATTTATTGGTTTGTACAGGAAAGGCAGCTTGTGTAGGGAGGGGTTAAGCATGAGGATTCTAAAGCTAGACTGCCTGGGTGTGAACCCATGCCCCACCAGCTCCAGGCAGAGTGGTCTTGGGTAAGTCATCTGAGTTCCTTCAGCCTCAATTTCATCGTAAAAACTGGGACAAGAAAATGGGATTGTTGCGGGAAATGAGGTGAATTAGTAAAGCCCCTAGTGCTGGGCACATGTAACCTCAGTAACTATAGTTAAGGTTCTGGTACTTGGGATTTGGGTATTTGATTTCCTCTATGTTCCTATAAATCAGGGTTTCTCAATATTTCAGGCCAGATAATTCTTTGTTGTGTGTGTAGGGCCGTCCTGTGCATTGCCGATGTCTAGCAGTATCTCTGGCCTCTACCCTTTAGATGCCAATAGCGCCCCAATGTGATAACCAGAAATGTCTCTTGGCTTTGCCAAATGTCCCTTCAGAAGCAAAATCACAGCTAGTTGAGAACCACTGCTCTAAATATTCAAAAATTAAAAAGCTCATCAAGCATCCAAATATATTATTAACACAATATAAACTTTGCCTATTTTAGACACCAAATGATCACAAAGGGTATGATACCATTTGAGCTACAATAAAAAAGTCTGAGGATCCTCTACCCTTGTGGACCTCACAAGCTCCTCCCAGCTGCAAGAATGCCCACCCAGGCCTTTCTATTGTGGCTTTATATCAGCTCAACTCAGCGACCTCCTCCACATCTTATTTAAAAAATTAGTAGAACCCTCAATGGAGATGTAGCATTTCAAAGATTAAAGTGGAAGAGCTATTTTAAAACAGTCTTTCAGGGGTGCCTGGGTGGCTCAGTCGGTTAAGTGCCAGACTTCGGCTCAGGTCATGATCTCGTGGTTCATGAGTTCGAGCCCTGCATCGGGCTGTGTGCTGACAGCTCAGAACCTGGAGCCTGTTTCAGATTCTGTGTCTCCCTGTCTCTGCTCCTCCGCTGCTCGCACTCTGTCTCTCTCTCAAAAATAAATAAAAACATTAAAAAAAAATAAAAGTCTTTCAAGGTTCAACATAATTTCAAAAAATTGATTTAACTAGGAGATGAGGTTGTTCAAAAGAAGTTATTGACAAAGATTCTTCTGGAATTACTGCATATACCTGAATAAACTTTTTTTGAGTTGTTTTAAATGTTTATTTATTTATTTTGAGAGAAAGAGAGAGCGAGCCCGTGCACACTTGCAAGCCAGGGAGGGGCAGAGAGAGAGAGAGAGAGAATCCTAAGCAGGTTCAGCACTCAGTGCAGAGTCCCACACGGGGCTCCATCTCACAACTGGGAGATCGTGACCTGAGTCGAAATCCAGAGTGGGACGATTAACTGACTGAGCCACTCAGGCGCCCCTATCTGAATAAACCTTGATTCCTTTGGATAAAATGTCTCCTAGACAACAGCTAAAATCCTCCCCAAGCAAGAGCTTAAAGCCCTGTTGAATACTAATCAGATTATGTAAATTTCTGGCCACTAGAATTGGCTACAGTATATAGTGGGTTGTGCAAAGGCTTGATGGTTTTCTTCAGGAGTATTTGCTGCCACCTGGTGACAGAAAGGCATCATAGGCCCAGTATTGTTCTGTCAATTATCCTCAGGTTCTATTCTTGATAGGGAGCTGTTATTTAATGACAGGGAGCCATTTTTCTGCTGAGGGCCTTGGACCTATAGAAAAAAAATCAAGTAAAGGTCTCACACCAATGACAGTTATTTACAATTACTTTAGATAAATATAAAATAGCCTACTCTATTTTAAACTTAAAAAAAAAAAAAAGGAGCATAAATCTGCCTTCAACAAAGCAAGCCAGCAATAAAAACATTCCTCAGCTCCATTTCTCAGAGAAAGAGGAAAAAAGGAAAGGGAGGCAGAGAGAGTAAAAATCAGTGCAACGAGACAGGAGAAAGACGAGGAGAGGTGGTAGAGAACATCGGAACCTCTCTGCTTTCCTGCTCTCTTCCTGTAGCCACACCCCAGAGTCTGACCCGCCATCGCTTAACTGCATCCAAAGTTCAAAGCATGCTCTTCAGAGATTGGTGTCCAGTCCCTGCTCTGTCCCTTACCAGCTGTGTGGCCTTGGATAGGTTATTAACTTCCCCGATTCCCAATATCCCTACGTGTAAATATGCATGATTCCACTTACCCAACCCTGCTAGGTCGTTCTGAGCATTCATATCAGGTGCATGATGCTGGCACAGGGTGGGGGGCGTTCAGCACACTCAGGATGGTCAGCCTCCTTCCCCCCACCCCTCGGAGTCCATTGATAGCAGCCTGATTTCTCCGCAGCATGCCCATCTTCCACCCCCAGACCCGTTCGCAGCCCCAACCTCAGGCACTCGCCACAATAATCCGCCAAGTGTCTTCTCTTCTTGACCCAGCCTGAATCATACAAAAATGAAAAGGTGTTTTCATGATAAAGACAGGGACCTACTGCGTTTATACAAAAGTTCAGTATTGGCAGGTCTTCTTGATGGGAGATTGAAAACCACGCTTTCAATATCCATGATGTCCAAATGAATACTCACAATAAATGTTGAATGTACAAAGGCCAAGCAAACAACAGATCTGCCAAGTGGATGAAACTGGATGTATCAACCATTTGGGAGCTCTCCCTGCCCCTACCCTTCCTTTTGCTCCAGGCTTCCAGTATCTTGAATCACGAGTTTATCATTTTCTTTTCTTTCTTTCTAGTTTGACCGCATATACATGTCTAATCAATGTATCATTTACTTCTGCATATTCTTTGAATTTGATATAAGTAATATAAAAGACAGTCTTTGTAAATAGAGCAAATGTTTTATTCCTTTTTTCATTCAACGCTATGTTGCACAAATTCATCCCTGTTGTTACACACAATTTATTTTCACTGCGTATAGTATTCCGCTGTAGAAGAGTATGCCACCGTTTATTTATATATTCTGCCATTATAGACATTGGGATTAT